CATCGTATGTATAAGGAAACGGAGGCTTAGAAAAATAAAAGTAATTTGTCAAACCTAGAGTCCAGATTTTAGCTGGGGCCTCAGTGATACCAGAACAGCATTTCCTTTAAAATATTTCCCTCTAAAAAACATCTCAGATGATGGTTCTTTTCATCTTGTGCCCGAACAAAGAACGACCACCGGAAAGGAATAAATTGAGGCAAAGCAACACCAAGTTCCAGCTTCACACAGGAGAGAACCCTGTCGCCTCATCATCAATACAGAGCTCTTAATTGAGTTACACCGTGACTCAGGTGCTTGGCCAGTAGGTGCACTGCAAAAACCCTACCATCTTCCAGGGACTATTAGTAGGTTCCATTATTTGTCTGTGAACAGCTTTAGCACACACCAGTGAGCGGAGTTCATGTTTCTGTGCTTTGTGTGTGTGCACCCATCTTACTTCCTGTACTTGATGAGACTTAACGGGATAGAATACTTATTCTTCAATTAAATCTCACTATTCCTGAGCCCTAATGAAGAGTTCCTGAAGTTGCACATGCTCCCCTGCGGACCCCAAATAAGAGCTTATTCAATAGAAACAGGAACATCCCCCGCCCCGGAGGAGGGGCTGTGAGCATGGCAGGCAAGAGGTGGGTGCTGGTTCTCCTTTGTAAAAGGAGTTCCGAGGTTGTGGCTCGCCATAACCTTAAAGAGCACTGCAGTCTCAGCACTACCTAGCAGTGCCAGCCTTAATCCTCTGCTTTGAATGAGATTAAATAAAAACGGCTTGAGCCAGGTGAAGATGAAAGAAGGCAATTGGACAAAAACTGAGAACTTTGATTACCTTAGATTAAAAAAAATCATTAAAATGAGGTGATATTCATTTAACAGTCATTTGAAAGCGAACTTGGCTATGGTTCTTGTGTAACAACCACAGGAGTAGGAAAAGCAGGTACATACTTTTGGGAAGAAAGCTCATGCACCTATGCCAGGCTACGGGCAAAGACCCAAGTGTTTGGATACACAGGTCCCAATTTTATTTTGCTAATCAATTGGGAATATTGACAAGTACATATCCAAGGTATTCCTTGAAAAATTGATAATTTGTTTTAGAAGTTACGCAGCTCATCTCAGCTGGGCAGTGGTGGCACACCTCTAATTGCAGCACTTGGGAGGCAGAGGCAGGCAGATCAAGAGTTCGAGGCCACTGTGGTCTACATAATGAGTTCTAGGACAGACAGGGCTGTTACACAGAGAAGCCAGACCCAGTCTCAACAAAAGATTTCCTCACCTGGGGAGATACTGAACTCTATTCAAATGTAGTGCTTATCCACACACAAAGCAGATTTTTATATGGAAAGAGACCACAAACAAAATTGTCTTTAGATATTTTTTATTTCTTCAATTTTTATTATCAGGAGTGACTGAAATAAAAAATATAATTGAGTCCCATCATTATTGTCATTATGGAAATGGCTTTAAGAGAAAACTGGTCAGATGAATATTATTGCTTCCCACTTTTCAACTGGTAAATAGTTGCCACTGATAAAACAGACAAGCCCAGAGAATCTGTCCAGAATGTTCAAGATATGGTGTATTATACAACATGCCTGTTCTCAGGGAGAACACCTATGACATAATTATGTGTACTTCTTGATCTCATCATACAAGACAAGCACAAAGGCACCACCCATGCCCCTGAGAACGTTGGACCATGCACCCTTGAAAAAGGCCTTGCTTCCTTCATCACGAGCAATCTTCCTCCAGCAGTCGATTGTGCCTGTATACATGATGTCAGCTGCAAAGAATAAAGACATGGAGTTGATGACTGAAGACCAATGAACGCCCCCATGTTCAGAACATTAAAGAAAACCAGTCCCACCTTTATAAAGCAATTTCAGGTTTGTTTTTTGAGGGGGATCATGAGGATGGAACCCTGGGTCTTGTGCATGCTAGGAAAGCTCTCTACTTTGAGCCATTCCAAGCACTCAGTGCCAGTTTTAAATCCAGTATTTCTACAACAGCACAGGCAACGCTCAAGTATTACTGTTGTGCTAGGAGGACAGGGATGACCTCTTAATATAATTTAAGCACCCCAAGTGATAGGCACCTAAAGGGTTGCTTGCTCCCAAGGCAGTTGTGCAGCCAACATGGATGCTACCACCTCCATCCCTTCTACACTGTCTACAGTGTTTTATGGCACTGGAGATTGAATCCAAGGCCTCGAGTATGGTGGGCTAGCACTCTACCACTGAGCTGCCTCCTCAGCCTGCAGTTCTTAAAGGCAGCCATCACCCGTTTGTGGCCACAACTTTTATCAGAACTTACTTCCTTTGCGTCCTGACTGCATCATCATACGACGGCGAACCGTGTCAAAGGGGTAGGAAGTCAAGCCAGCAACAGCAGTGACAGACTGTGCAATCATCCAGCTGATGAAGATGTGAGTGTTCTTGGGATCTGGAAGCATTCCTGAAAATAAGATAAATATATATATATATTTAATCAAAATGCAGTTTTGCCGACCTATTTTCTACACTTAATCAACACTGTACCTATCAGAAGTTTTATACTGAAAGAGTTTGGCTTCTTTCAGGAATTAATAACAAAAAAATGTTGGCCTGCTGGAATGTTAGGTAGATACAATGATCTTTCAAATTATCTCTTAACAGCTTCAGGTCGAGTAGTGGTGGTGCACGCCTTTAATTCCAGCACTTGGGAGGCAGAAGCAGGTGGATCTCTGAGTTTGAGGCAAGCCTGGTCTACAAAAGCTAGTTCTAAGACAGCCAGGGCTGTACAGAGAAACCCTGTCTCAAAAAAACCAATAAATAAATAAATAAATAAATAAGACAACCCCATCCCCAAAACAGCTTTATAGCTTAGTGTGATTGTACAACAGTACAAGCCTGAAATCAAAGGTACTTGGGAAGCTGAGGCAGGAGGACCTTGAGTGTAAGGTCAGTCTGCCTGGGCTACCTAGAGACCTCATCAAAGAAACAAATCAGGAGCTGGATGTGGTGGCTTGCACCTTTTAATCCCAGCACTCAGGAGTCAGAGGCAGGTGGATGCCTGAGTTGGAAGCCAGCCTGGTCTACACAGGGAGTTCCAGGCCAGCCAGGGATACAGTGAGACACCTCAAAGAAAAAAAAGAGAAAGAAAGAAACTAGGGCTTGGAGATACAGCTCAGTACTGGATTAGTGTGCACAAGGCCCTTAGGTGGAGTTCGCAGTGCTGCAAACATATCCAAAGTTCCCACAACCTCTAAGCATATAGCATACTTACCCTTTGCAGTGTCATAGATGCCAAAGTAGGCAGCTCGGTAGATGATAATGCCCTGGACTGACACATTAAAGCCTTGGTACAGGCCCCTAATCCCATCAGATTTGTAGATCTTAACCAGGCAGTCACCAAGGCCTTTGAATTCCCTTTCAGCTCCAGCTTTGCCCACATCAGCTGCTAGACGGGTACGGGCAAAATCAAGGGGGTACACAAAGCACAAGGATGTGGCCCCAGCGGCACCACCTGATGCCAGGTTCCCTGCAAAGTAGCGCCAAAACTGGGTCCTCTTGTCCACACCACCCAAAAAGATCTGCTTGTATTTATCTTTGAAGGCAAAGTTGAGAGCCTGGGTGGGGAAGTATCTGATGACATTGGCCAGGTTACCACGCCAGAAGGACAGGACTCCCTGCTCCTTGGGGATACGAACCACGCAGTCTATAATGCCCTTGTATTGCTTATCTGCCGTGATTTGCTTGCTGGCATGCTGCACCTGATGGACAAGAAGAAGGCAATAGGGACAGTTACAACCACAGGAAGGGACAAAGGAAGAACATACACATATAATCTTTAAGGTTAGTTCCCCTTTCCCCAAATCCAGCTTTCAGAATCACACGGATTCCTAAGTGCTGACACCGTCACAGGGGTAAGCCTCCACCTCTGTGAGTGAGGCACCCTCAGGGGACCTATGACCTTTAGACCTGGAAGAAAGGTCATTCCCTCCACGTGAGGTTCAGAGGCACTAGGATGGGACCTGCATAGGACACGGTCACCTTGGTGACCACAGTCAACTTCTCAGGTCTCCTGAGCTGCTTCCTTTCCGCCCCACCCCCACTTTTGTTCGGTGGGGGGGGGAGGGGGGTGACTAAACTGCACTCGCGAGTGCCCTCTAGAGGTACAACGCGGCGAGCGCGCGGCAGGAAGGCCGGCGAGGGGCTGCGCGGGGGCGGACGTAGCAGGCACATGCTCTTCCCGGCGTCCACTTCCGGCCCGCCGGCCGGCGAGGTTAGACCGCGTTGTTCGCAGGCGGCGCGGCCGCCGAACCGGTCCGCGTGGCCTGCGCCCCGAGCTGTAATCTCCTTGCCGTGACCTTGAGGTTCTCGGTAAGGCCAGGTGTTGTTCGCCAGCGCCTGCTTTCAGGCCTACTGTCCTTCCCCAGAAAGCCGGGGTGGACGGTGTCTCTCGGGCTGCCCTAGCCTAGTTCTCGGTGCCGGGGATGGCCCCAAGCGCCTCCGCTCCCTCTGGCCCCGACCACTTGCGACACTCAAACTCCCAAGTCCTTAAAGGCGCCTTCTTCCAGCTTGCTTTTCGGTCTGACTCTGGCCAGGCCCGGCCTTCACCTCGCCCCAAGTCTAATGATTGAGCCCCACTCTCCCGCTAGAGTACCCCCCTTTTTGTGCAGATCCCCCACTTCCTGCCTGGGCCCCTCGATCTCAGGACGTACCTGCAGCAGCAGCTTGACCCGCTCGATGGGCGCTACCGCCGTCTTGGAGATGGCCGCGGCCACTCCACCTGCCAAGAAGTCCTTGGCGAAGGACACAGCGGCATCTGTCATGTTGAAAGAGAAAGAAAAGGCAGAGGAGCACGGAACGGGACTGGCTTGACAACCGGCTTTGACTCCCGGACTCTGGGGCGGAGCAAAGCAAATGGCCGATTTATATAGTGGCAGCCAGGCGCTGAGCTGCCGGCGTAAGGGGCGGGCCGAGGCAGGCGCCCAGCACAGGCGCGCAGAATGGCTGAGCCGCTGAGTGGCTGGGGACCTGCGGGAGGAGCCCGGGGAGGTCGCCCTCCCTGCCTCGCCTGCCCTTGGCACCTGATCAGGCCCGAGTATGGGGCAGCCGCCGGCAGAACCTACAACTTGGGTGTTCGACCCTGAGAAGGGTCAGGGAAAGGTGAGGAAGGCTGAAGATAATTTTGTATCCAAAGTGTGGGGGGGGGGGATAAAAAAACCAAACAAAACCCCAAACCCAGGCCTAGGGCCAGGCCTAGGGTGAAGACGCTCCAGACAGACAAAACTTCCCCGAACCTCAGGAATCAAGATAAATATGAAATGGAATATTAAAAAATTCCATTTAGACACACTAAAGACTTCAGGTCACTTATCCGTTTCTGTAAAGAAAATTATTTGGGGACCCAGGACTGGAATTACAGTGAGGCTCATGAATCAAGGTCATCCTAGTACAGGATGAGATCCTGTCTTCGTAGAGTTTTGAACATTCATAACCTAAGGATTTTGCATTGTTTTGTGTTTTAAAACCATTGCATTGAGATTCATTTATCTTGGTTGGTGAGTTGTCCTGTGTCAAGCTCTGTGAACTTCACCCTAGACCTGGCACTACCCTGAAGCTTTGTCCTCAAAGCCAGAAAAAACCGAGGTACCAGCAGGGTGTGAGCCTGTCAGCATGCCCCAGACTACAAATACTGTGACAAAGATCTTTCAGGGAATTGACCTAGGAGAGTCCAAAGCACCAAACTCGAGGGGAGGAAATGATTCTAACCGGAAGCCAAATACAGTATCCAGAAGGGTAAGAGGCTTAAAAAGGTTAAGAATGCAGTTGACATTTGACTCTGGACTCCAGGTAAAAGTGCTCTTGGATTGACTAGATTGCTGAACTCCATCTACAGTGCCAATGGATCTGTGTTCCCTGAGCCCCTTAATCCAGGAACTGAGTAAATATTTGCCACAAATGACCTTAAGATCAGGAGTGCTCCCTCAGGTTCAGAACGGCAGCAGGTAATGCGATCACAACCCTGCTTCTAAATAATCCCTACTTATAGAAATAAAGGTGACAGTTGAGAAAATTTCCCTGTATCTGAGCCTTAGGATATTCAGAAATTCCACAGCAAAACGCCAGCAGGCCTGTCTACACTAAGACATAGTGGGCGCTTTAGTTAGAGATCCTATTTCAGTGACAAAACACCATGACCAAAAGCAATTTGAGGAGGAAGGGTTTATTTCATCTAAAGCTTGGAGTCTACCATCCAAGGAAGTCGAGACAGGAGCTGATGCAGAGGCCATGGAGGGAGGCTGCTTACTGGCTTGCTCCTCCTGGCTGCCTCAGCCTGCTGTCTGATAGAATCCGGGACCACCGGCCCAGGTGTCGCCCCGCCCACCATGGGCTGGGCCCTTCCTCAGCAATCATCAAACAAGAAAGCACCACAGGCTTGCCCTCAGGCCAATCTTGTGCGGGTATTTTCTCAGCTAAGGTTTTCTTTTCTCAGGTGACTCTGGCTTGGGTCAAGTTGCCGGAAAAGTAGTCAGCGTAATGAGTACGTCACTCCCTTTCATGCCTTCTCCCACATCAACCGTGTCTGTGTAGTGCAGCCTCCTCCAGGGGTTTTAGGCCTTTCTCTGAGTAGAGTTGGTTCATTCTTAGCTCCCAAGAAGCCTAGCAATGCAAAAAAAAAAAAAAAAAAATGATGGGCACAGACTGTAGGCATTTGAAGGAGCGTTGTGGTTTTTCTTAAAAGATTCATTGATCTCCCTTACTTGAACCCAGTATATCTACCGTATGCGTCTGAGACATGTTTTATCACACCATTTGTTGAAGAAACTATCTCTTCCTCAAGGTTTGCTTATGGTGCCCGTTTTTTTAAACATCACTTGACTGTAGCTGTTTGTGCTTCCTTTTCGGGTCCTCTATTCCATTCCATTGGTAGATGTACCTGTTTTTGTACCAGTCTCGTGGTGGTTTTGTTACTGTGGCTCGGCTCTGTAGTTAGCTTAAAATGTAGTATTGAGATCCCTCCAGCATTTATGTTTCTGCTCAGGATTGCTTTGGGCACTTGGAGTCTTTTTGGCACTCGTATAAACTTTAGGATCCTTGAAAGAAATGCCACTTTAATCTTTACAGGGCTTGCTTTGAATCTATGGGTTAGTTTTGTGATATAGCTGTCTTATAGTGTTAATCCTGGTGATCTTTAGCATGGGATGGCTTTCTGTATCTTTTTTTGTTGTTTTTGTTTTTGTTTTTCGAGACAGGGTTTCTCTGTAGGTTTGGAGCCTGTCCTGGAACTAGCTCTTGTAGACCATGCTGACCTCAAACTCACAGAGATTCGCTTGCCTCTGCCTCCCGAGTTCTGGGATTAAAAGCATGTGCCACCCATCGCCCAGCTGATTTCCACCTTTTATACTGAGGCAGAGCTCACTGGTTTGGTTCATCTACCTAGTCGATCTCCTGTCTCCATTTCCTGAGCACTACATTTCTGTGGGTTGTGGTGATCCTGACTCTAGCCCTTAGGCTTGTTTGGGAAGCATTTTACCCACTGAGCAAGCTACCTAGCCTTATATTTTTGAAGCTATTGCCAGTGGGATCCCTGGCCCCCAGAGTTCTTACGAAGCTTGCTATTACTATTTAGAAAAGCTTTCTTCTTTTTCTCTGTCTCTCTGTCTCTGTTTCTGTCTGTCTGTCTCTCTCGTGTGTGTGATGTGTGTGTACCCATGTGTGTGTGACGGTACATGTATGTGCACATGCATATGGAGGCCTGAGGTTGATGTTGTGCCTCTTCCTCGGTTGCTTATATATTGAGGCAGGGTCTCTGGAACCCTGAGCTCCCTGACCTGGCTAGTCTAGCTGGCTAGATTGGTCTAGGACAATGGTTCTCAACCGAGGGCTGTGGACCATTTGGAGTCGCATATCAGATAACCTCTGTATCAGATATTTATATTATGATTCATAACAGCAACAAAATTACAGTTATGAAGTAGCAACGAAATAATTTCATGGTTGGGGGTCACCACAGCGGAGAGCTGTATTAAAGGGTAATGGCATTAGGAAGGTTGAAAACCACTGCTCCAGAGATTCCATGGTCTCTTCCTCCTGCAAGGTACAGGTGGGTTGCCATACCTACTAAACTCCAGTCCTCATGCACAGGCTTTTGGTGGACCCAAAGGTACTAATTGACTTTGTGTCCTAAAACTTTGTTGCAAGTGTTTATCTGATGTCAGAATTTTCTGGTGGGGTCTTTAGGTCTTTTAAGTATGGGGTATTATCATCAACAAATAAAGAGATAAATTGACCTCTTCCAAAGGGGCAATTTTTGTTGTTGTTGGTTTTTTTTTTCAGACAGGGTTTCTCCGTGTATCTCTAGCTGTTCTGGAATTTACTTTGTAGACCAGGCTGGCCTCGAACTCACAGAGATCCGACTAACTCTGCCTCCCTGATGCTGGGATTAAAGGAGTGTGCCACCATTGCCTGGCCAAAGGGGCTATTTTGGATCCAGCTTTGTTGATCCTAAGGAAAATCTTCGATTCATGTGTGAGATAGATGCTACAGTGTTTCTTTACTGGCTGACTGTATCCATGTGTGAGATGGACGCTACAGTGTTTCTTTACTAGCTGACTGTATCAGTGATTCAGGTTTAGAAATGAGCATCCTGTACTTGTCAAATAATGGTAAGGCAAGTCTTGTGAAAACCACAGTCACCCCTCTGCTGAAACATCAGTTAAAACAAGGTTTAGCTGGTAAACTTTGGAGTTAAACATTATTACTGTGCTGGGGATCAGTGCATACTAGGCAATATAGAGAATTTTATTTGAATAGTGTGGGTTTTGTTGATGTCCCCCCCCCCCGCCTCTCTCTTTCTAGGACAAGATCTCACCATGTAACTCTACTGGCCTGGTAGTTAGTTACCATGTAGATTAGGCTGGCCTTAACTCACAAAGATTCACCTGCCTCTGCCTCCTGGGTGCTAGAATTAAAGATATATACCACTATATCCAGCTGAACAATTTTTTAAAATGATTTATTTATTTATTATTATGTGTATATCTGTGTGCTTCTGTGTACCACATATGTGCAGGTGCCCACAGAGTTCAGAAGAGGATGTCAGATTTCCTGGAACTGGAGTTACAGGCAGTGTGAAATGCCTGAAATGGGTGCTGGGAGCTGAACCTAGGTCTTCTGTAACAGCTGCTAGTGCCCCTAAGCACTGAGCAACCTCTGTAGCTCCAGTTCTTGTTTTTCTCTGTAGTGCCAGGGCTGGAATTCAGGACCCTGTAGATACTAGACAAGCATCCTACTATGCAGCTACATTCCTAGCATTTGTTTAGTTTTAATTTTTGTTATTGCAAACGCCAGGATTTCATCATTTGGTTAGCTGAGTAGTATTCTGTTGTGTGTATGGTTCACATTTTCTTTGCCTCCTTGTCAGGTGATGGATATCCAGACTGTATCTACTTTGGGGTTCTTGTGAATAGTGCAGAAATGAACATGGGAAAGAAGATGTCTCTTGAACATGCCAGATTGCATTTCTTTTGGCTATATACCTACCAGTGAGATTGCTGAATTATACAAAACACACACCTTTGGAGGAATCTCCATAGTACTTCAGGGTGGCATTGTTAATTTGCATCCTGACCAATGACATGCAAGAATGCCCCTTTCTCCACTCCCTCACCAGTGTTATGAGCAGTTAACACCTCACTGTGGTTTTTGTTTGTACTACCTTAATAACTAGTGATGTAGGACATCTTTTTTTATGATGATTGACCAATTTACATATCTTCTTTTAGGAAATGTCTGATTAGGTTTATTGCTCTCACTTTGTAGTCTTTTGGTTGAGATCAAGTGTAGGTTAATTGCTCACTTTTAAATTGGGTTTCTGTTGAGATTAGGAGTTCCTTGCATTGTGGATATCAACCCACTCTTAGGTGTATCCTTTTTGCAAAGTTGGGAATTGAGCCTAGGGCCTCATGCATGCTTGGCATGCTCTGTACCACTGAACTACATTCCCAGCCCCTTTGTACTATTTTTGCAACATTTTTTGTTGTTTTTTGAGACAGGGTTTTTCTGTGTAACAGCCTTGGCTGTCTTGGAATTCACTCTGTAGACCAGGATGGCCCCACAGAGATCACCTGCCTCTACCTCCCAAGTGCTGGGATTAAAGGCTT